CTAAGGTTTTCTCTTATCCTCCTTTCCCCTGCTTTTCTTCCTGCTTTCTGCCTTCAGGATGCTTGAACCCTCTCCCATGTAAAGTTCACTGCATTTGAACTGGACCCCCTTTCTGGCCTTGCACTTCATGCTTCTCTTACCTAGGAAAATCCTTTTAAACTTAACAGAACTTATGCCCATCTTGTAATAGAGAGACATATAATCAGATAGCAGAAAATGGAAGAGCTTGATAATATGGTGCTACATTGATTTATGACTGTTAGGAACACCTACACCATCAGAATCTGGTTTTGCATGGCAAAGGGTTTATATTATATTTAAGGCTTAATCTTACTTGTTCACAGTCTGAAACAAGATGTTTTGTCTCTTTCAATTCCCTGCATCATGTCTTCTGTTTAATCCCACACAGTGCCAGTAATACTATGATGCAACAAACCTCTTCTGGTTTCAGCAACAAGAGAACCCAACTAATTTCAGCAACAAATGTTGAAACAGTCCACATGTTACCTTTGCTCAGTTTGAAGATCAGCCAGCCATGGCTCTGTTGCTTGGTTGATAAATGTATGTAGGGCAGATAAACATACCTACAGACCAAAATCCTCAGCTGCTAACTTCAACAGGGGCAAGACTGGGAATGCTTCCCCACTTCAAGTCCCACACAGTTTTATTCACTATGTTGCAGCAGTTCTATTAAGGAATCATAAAAAGCTCAGAGAACCACAACATGCTTCAAGGAGAGGAAGACTTGCAGGTTTAGGATTAATTCTTTTACAGAACAGAGTAAAATGAGCTTAATCCAAAATCTACCGTCGTCCATGGAGTCTCCCACTCAAGCCAACAAACTTGAATTTAGCCTCCACAATAGATTAAACTCTGCTCAGAGTTCACAACCTCAGGCCCTCCGTGCTCAGGAGCACAAAATTTGCCTGTACAACCTTCATGTGCCCTCCTTATGTATACATTCATGTACTCTGCTTTACCACAGGATCACATGAGATGTTTCTTCCACTGAATGCCTTTCTCCTCACATTGAGCATGGATAGTGCTCTGTGGGCAAGCAGCTGCCCAGAGTTGTGCTTTCTTTTCATTGTGTGATAATGATCTGCAGACTGTAAAGCTTCAAGGATTTTCCTATGATGCTCATCACTCAGCTACCCTCGTGTCTGACAAACCTTGTCATTGCCTGGACACAACTTTTCCTTTTCACAGCTGCAGAAGCCAGATGAGAAGATTAAGTTAAAAAGTATTTATTAATTTTTGGGAACTGTTTTGATAGTCTGAGTCTCCTTAGCACACTGTATGTGCAGATCACACTGATGGCAGCTATAGCTCACTCTGTGCCTGCTCTGAGGCTCAAGAGGAACATCCAGCAGCCAGCTCTGACATGCCTAAGCATCTTACCTCTGGTCCCACAGGAACTGGAAGATAAGAGCAGGAGCAGCAGCTAATTCTGCAGGGTATCAGCTGTAAGTAAGAGACAACTATGCCCTGCCTGATCTTACCACATGCATTACAGCCTACAGAACAAATAAAGCATCTTTTAAAATTCAGATGTACATGTCACCTCAGTTCTGGCCTTTCCCAATTTATAAGAGCTTAAGTTTGTGTTCTTCAATATTCTCCAAACGTTGTTTTTGCAATTTAATAGGCCTTAAAAATCAGGACCAAGCAGAGGAATTTCTCCCTTTTCAACCATGCTAACAGATGTGATGATTTGTGAGGTGGTATCCCCAGTACTAGCAACCAGTGTCAAACTGGACATGGCAGCAGCATGTGCCAGGTCTCTTCTGATGCTGAAGGAGAACACAGCCCTCTTGTGACCTTCAAAAGCAGAAAATTTGGCTACCAAGTCTAGAGGGACTGGAAAAATCTGATAACTGATCATAAACATTAGGTAAGCCAAGAGGGGTTTCCTGCTTCACATGAAGGGGATTGCTGGGAAAAACTGAAGTGAAGGAGGAGCTGCTCAAGTCTTCCAGATGAGGGCTGAAGCTGGGCCTGACCTTCAGACTGTACCTTTTCTTTCATGTTGCAATCATCCAGTCACTTCTACCTGTGTTTGTTGAAAGACCAAAGGCCAAGAGGTAGATAAACTTTGGATTTAACTTTAATTCATGATCAAATGATGGAAGTGCATTTCACTCTTTCAGGGCCCTGTTCTTGGCAGGTTTCCACAGCAATAACTGGGCAGTCTGGGATTTAACTCTGGTTTGTGTGCCCTAGATGTGAGCCCTAGATGTGAGACTGCCCTTGTTTGCCCTGCACTGCCACTGTCTGCTGTCCTACTACCAGTTCCCACCACCATTTCCAAGTGGTGCCTTCCCATCTTCTTACTTGGTCATTCCTGTAGCTCCTCTTGATACATTGTCTTAGGCTCCATTCACCATCAGCCCTAACTCTCACTTTTTCTTCATGTGCTCATCAAAATACTTTCTGAATTTATGATTAGCCAATCCCAGCATCTGGTCTCACATTTTCCCCATGCAATGCCCCAGGGACTGAGGGACCCAGAAAGTTCTCCAGTCCATCCACCTTATTTGCTTCTTTCTACCTCTCTCCCATCCTCATTCACTTTTTTGTTTTGTTTTGTTTTGTTTTGGAGTGAGCATGCAAAATAAAAAGTATTTCTGTTTCCAATTCCTCTGTTTTGTCTTATAATGAACTTCTATAAGTTCAGAGAGGGACAGGCTCTCCTAAATACAGGTGACTTTCACTGTAGGCTATGGTCTGAGGGTCATGTACAATAAAGACTGATTTAGAAAAGAGAAAGATGAGCATCAGTATACAAAATAGAGCATTAAGTCAAATTGGAATGTATTTGCTTGCAAAAAAATAAGACTGAGAGCATCATTCTCTCTCTAAGAGTCAAAAGAAATAGAAGATATTTTCAGGCCACTTTTTGATAGTTTGAAGGTTGAAAACCGTAAAACAGAGGTCCAAAAGTCATGAGCCCCAGAGACTGTAACTGCAAGCTGAGATCCTGCAGATTCCCTGATGAGCTCTGGCATAGGATTTCTTTGAAAGTTCAGGTTTCTTGAATTCAATAAGTCTGACTCTCTGGACCACTGAAGCAGATGGTCCTTTCCAAAGAGGTTAAATGATTTGAGAAAATTTAGGACACCAATAAACAAACCAATTGGAAGAGTAAGCCAGTCTTAGTTCTCGTGAGCAACCCACAAAATGCCAGGTTTTCAGACCGGTGCAATGTGTGTAGTTACAGCAGATGGTCATCAAATAACACATTGCAGCCTGAAGCTGAACTGGGAGAGGTAATTCAGTGTCCAGACCTAGCAGAGTGTGGACACAGAAGTCAAAGTGACAGAAGGGAAAGGAATATGTTTTAATTCCATGTTGCAAATATATCATAGAATCATAGAGTGGTTTGGGTTGGAAGGGACCTTAAAGATCATGTAGTTCCAACCCCCTGCATGGGCAGGGACACCTTCCGCTAGACCAGGTTGCTCAAGGCCCCGTCCAACCTGGCCTTGAACACCTCCAGGGATGGGGCATCCACAACCTCCCTGGGCAACCTGTTCCAGCAACTCACAACCCTCACAGGAAATAACTTTTTCCTATTGTCCAACCTGAATTTCCCCTCTTTAAGCTTCAGACCATTGCCCCTTGTCCTCTCACTATACACCCGTGTAAAAAGCTCTACCCCAGCTTTCTTGTAGGCCCCCATCAGATATTGGAAAGTTGCTATAAGGTCGCCATGGAGCCTCCTCTTCTCTAGGATAAATAACCCCAACTTCCTCAGCCTGTCTTCATAAGGGAGGTGCTCCAGTCCTCTGATCATCTTCGTGGCCCTTCTCTGGACATGCTCGAGGAATTCTATGTCCTTCTTATGTTGGGGACTTCAGAATTGGATACAGTACTCCAAGTGGGGTTTCACCAGAGCAGAGTAGAGGGGGAGAATCACCTCTCTCGACTGGCTGGCTATACCTTTGACGCAGCCCAGGATACAGTTGGCTTCCTGGGCTGCAAGCGCACATTGACAGCTCATGTTAAACTTCTGGTCCACCACTATCCCCACGTTCTTCTCCTCTGGGCTGTCCTCAATCCTTACTCCTCCCAACCTGAACTTAATGCAGTTTGCACGAGCCCACTTCTCCAGCTGTCAAAGTCCCTCTGAATGGCATCCCTTCCCTCCAGCATGTTGACTTCACCACAGCTTGGTGTCATCAGCAAACTTGCTGAGGGTCCACTCAGTGCCACTGTCCATGTCACCGACAAAGATGTTAAATAACACTGGTCCAAGTACTGACCCTTGAGGAACACGACTCATCACACATCTCCATTTGGACATCAAGCCATTGATCACAACTCTTTGGATGTGACCAGACAGCAATTTTGATCAGAGTAACTTTCCAACCATGATAGAGTTTACTTTTGTTTGTTTGGCCAACAGGAGAGCACAGAAAACAAGTCCAGACTTTTTGTAATTATAAAAATTTATTGAGAATTTGTACAGAAAAAAAAATAACCATGTACAGATATAAGCACTGCTCAGGGAAGAGGCTTGGGCATTTTATAGTCAATGGTGTTTTATAGTCAAAACTGAACTGTGTAATGCTAGGCAAGTTCAGTGCCTAAGAGATAAAATATTTGTTTTCCCTGTTCAGACCACTCTGTGAAATTGTCCCTTTATGAGTCTCCAACCTACAACAGAAAAAAAGAGAGCATTTTAATGTTCTTCTAAAGAAAGGAGTACATAAGGCCATGATGACATGTTGATAGTGTTCATACATAGATACGCTAGTTGGAGATTTAAACTGTAGCATTTACAACACATGAATACAAAGGATTATTTCTGATCATGAGACTACCCATTTACCTATCTGTTACAGGAAACAGTAATGTGGAAGGTATATGAAAATCAAAATGCAAACATTTATGTGACAAAATGGTAAACAAAGCCAACTTCTCTAAGATGCAGTGGGCTTAACACTTCAGCTGCCCATGTTTAGTGTTTGAAACAATAACTGTGTTCTGTTGTCATTTTAAATATCCCCTCGTCCCTGTGGTTGAACCTGTTTGGCGCTGCCGAGGTTGTGCTGCTGTCCATCTACTGACAGTCTGTTGAACGGGATGATTTTCATTGCAGTCTTCTTCATGGAGTACCACCGGTTACGCCAGGTTGCCCAGATAATTCCATTGTCATATCCAGATGGACCAGCATCTTCTGATGTGTACACACCATCTAAAAAATACCAGTCAGAGCAAAACAGTCAGTTGCTTTCTAAAATAGTTACTGTGTCCATACATTTTTCTGGTATTAACAGCTCCATGGTATCCCTGGGCACGCAAACAGGTGGCACTCACTGCCCTTTTTCCCCCTAGTTTGCTTCTCTCAGGGCGGATTCTGTCACTTTGGGCTGGAGAGCAGCTGTAAGATCCTACTGCTGGTATTCGCACTTATTGCAAAGAATGCCCTTTGCCAGATGGCAAGACATACTCAGTGAAAGTCACTCATATTTTTTTTGTCCTTGAGGTGTGTTGTCCTAGCTTATAGGTATTTACATGATACTTTACCTATATAATATTTTCCATTGAGGTGGGCAGCATGACACCTATTCATCCACCATCCAGATCCATCTTGCTCAGCACAGTTGCCAGCAAAGTTATCATTGTCGTTATCATAGGTACTGAACCGCATGCCATTGTGATAGGTAAAGGACTTGTCACTTGGATCATCTTCAAAATCAAAGCCATCAAAGGCATCCCCAGCTTCACCACCGATAAAGTAGGCATAAGTCAGTCGATACTTGTCTTCTTCACTGCCCACTTTGAATACAGCATAGTCAGCAGTGCTGTTAACAAAGGAGAATGGTGAATATGAGCATGCTGCATTCCCAGCACATGCACAAGTGAAAAATACATAGGTGTTAGATAAGCAGAAAAGACATTTATGGCATCCTAGCATATGAAAAGGAGTTGGTCTTGCATGACTGTGTGCCTCAGTTCACTGACCCACATCCAACCAACTTTCGTGAACCAGTATCAGACGTTTTCTGCCTACTAGTCTTCAGTAATGTATGAAAGATATACAGTATATAAACACATACATATATATTTCTCCCCTGTTCATAATACTTAGACTTGTGTAGGTCATGAGGAAATTCTTTCTGGGTAGAAGTGGATGTCTTAAAAAGAGGAGAAGCAAGGTGAGAACACAAGGATGCAAAAGATGTAAAGGAACTTGGAGCGAAGAGACAGATTCCTTCTGCCAAATAATCTAGGGCTACCAAGATGTGGCCTCCAGACACGCACATGTTCCTGGCACCAATTCACACACAGTGATTGCTGTCACAGCTGTGAGTTCAGAAGCTACAGGAGTGTCCTATGCATGGTAGCAGGCCTAAGGGCTCATCATTTTTTCAGAGAGCCGTACAAACTGACACAGCAGTGGGAGAAGTAGGTTTTAAGCTGTCATTTTCAGAAGCACCATGAGCAAATACCTTTTTTTGCCACTCCAGTCCTCCAGTTCTATTCGTAAGGTGTATGGCAGAGTGGACTGTGTAGTTATTAAATGAATCTTTTCATTGCCAAGCCAGAACTCAGTGGTGTCATCTGGAGACAGATGTCCAAATCCTTCCTTGTACTGAATCCAGTTTTTTCTGAAGTCCTCACTCCCATCCAGTCTCTGAGGAAAAAAAAAAAAACCACAAAAAAACAAACCAAAAAAGCTCAGTCAAAAATTATATATATCTTATGTAGGTAAATAAAAAATTGCAATAATACAGAAGTGGCATACCCTCTGTAACACTGTCCAGCCATTGCCATATGAGTCAATCTCACAGTAGACTAGGAATGATTGCTTGGCTTTTTGAGGCTTGATAAAGTAGAGACCACTTTTTCTGGCACCTTTATTTGCAATGTCTTGACAATCTGAAGTAAAGATAATAAAAAGGTTGTTATTAATCTAATTACATTCTATCCACACATTTATGTGATATTGTGACTTTCATATTGCAAGAAACAGAATTCATCTGTATCGTCATTGTTGCAAAGTTAGCTATGTATTCCACATACTTTAATGTCATTGCCATAAAAAACCTGAATGAAAGTCATAGGAGTTGTGTAAGATGAGGAGGAATTTAGTCTCACACAAAGTTTAAGCAGCTTAAATGTAAAATATAGTTATTGCATACAAAAGGAACAAAAAAAGGCACTTTTGGAGCTAACTGAATAATTAATTTTTTTTTCAGATGAGTCAGTAGGAATGTGATAAAGGGTTAACTTCTGTTTTCCCTATGTCTACAAAACCTCTACTCGTGTTGTTCATGTTTAGAATACATTTTGGGAAAACCATACTTTGGCTGAAATAGCCAAAGGAGCAGGCGAGACTTTTGTTCCATCTGAATGCCTTTTTTGCAGAGCATCTACCTAGCACTTAAATTGATCCAAGCACCGGTTTAATTACTTGCAATCTTACGTATCTTTGCATAAATCTATGGCCCATAAGATTACAAATAACTCATTGCCACAATGCCAACAGGTGATACTTGTAGCTGAATTAACCTTCCACCATACAAGAAGCATTTTGCACACCTCTTCCAGTTGTCTCCTGTATTTCAGCTGTGTCTTTACATGGCTCCTGACAGTGTGACTCAAGCTGGGCAATCTTCTGTTTCAGCTGTGCAATCCTGTTGCTGTTCAATATGTGTGTGTCTGTCAACTGTCTGGACAAGAAACATAAAAATGGTTTGTGGTTTTATCTGTTTGTGAAGATGTGATACACATTTCACTGCACCTGTGCCTCACCTCTGTAGCATGCTGCTACACACACCCCTGTAAAATGGGGTGCTTCTGTTAGCACTGATATTTAAAGTTGAGGAAACTAGCCCAAAAGAAAGCACACACTTAACCTTATGCAAAACTTGACTTGACTCTAATCAGTAAAATTCAAGTCAGTAATTAATGTATGACTGTAACTCTATCAAAAGATTTTCTTTGTTCTCTTGAAGTAGAATGATCAATTATTCCTCTTCATTATGATACATTTGTAAAACATAAATGTTGTAAGCAAACTGCTGCAAGTGTCAGAATGCCTAACTAGTCTTTGATATAGTGTTATAGAATGGTGAGTCTTATAGATTCAAGTCAGAAAACATCCTTAAGATTTAGAAAAGTTAGTGATGTTTTAATTTTGTTTTCAATGTCAATTTACAAAAGACTCTAAGACCTCTAAGTTATAGTAACTTAATATTTATATCAATGCAGCTGAGATTATTTTCATGTATATATGCAGCAAAGTTATCCAGAGTGAATGACTGTACAAATAGTCCATACACTCTGCATTACAGCACAAACTTGTATTAATAAAATCATAGAGTGGTCACGGTTTGGTCATGATCATAATAAAATCTCCAAAGGTCATGAAAAAAATTTTAGAAGTAGCTGGCACAGCAAAAGAAACACACAAAAAAAATATCTCCATGCTTCCTGACATTTCTATCTCACACTTCTTGCACCATTAATGGCTTAGGCAGATGAGCAGAGAATGTAAGATCACATCTTCATGACCCTTCCATGTTTTGCTAGGCAGCTACTAATGACAGTGTGGGCACAGTGGTCCACACGAGCACGAAAAAACATTTCTGAAGGAGCCTCAGCTGCAGTTGATAAAAGAACAGAAAGAAACCAATCTGGATTGTCAAGTGGCATAAAAGGTGGAAGATACCTACTGTATTGTATTTTCATGAGACAAAATAGTGTTTTCATATCTGATAATTTCTTCAATTATTTTCTTGGACTTTTTAGTAAAATCATCAATTGAATCTGTGAAACAAAAGTGCAGAATTATTGCAATTAGGCCAATTACAAAACAAGAGAACTACATAAATTATATTTTTCAGTTGTGTAGTCATTTTGATATTCTTACTTGGTAGTGTCTGCTTCTCTGGAGGATAGAGGCTTTGGATGTGTTGAATCAAATGTTCTGCTGTTCCTGTGCTGTTACTAATTTGCCGCAAAATTACCTCCATTTCCTGCAGTTCATTATCCATAGTAAGATGGTATTTATTGAAGAAATCTGTAATACCACAGGTCGTTGGGCAGTAACTACCCTAAAGAGGAAAGAATAATAATTGGCAATGTTCCAGGTAGCCAAAGGGGAAAGCAGAATGTTTGGGCAGGGGAACTTTCAGGCACCACTTCTACAAACATTTGTGGACAAAAAAGTTCAGGCATTCGCCACTTTGTCTGCAGTAGTTGCATTTACAGGGCCAGTTTATATTCACCCTGTGTGTAGGTACACACACATAGCAAGAAAAGGGTGCATGCTGTTACTCGTATTGTCTTCTGGATACGTGCTTTTGTCAACAGCGCAGCCTCCCCTGCATTTTTACCAAGCATATATCTCTATTAATAGACACCGGGTTTAAGCGTAGTGCATTTAATAAGGATTGAAAACAACAATGAAGATCAAATAAAGTTAGTTACAAGAGATAAAGGTAGTTTATAATCAGTGTAGGG